CTCCCCCCATCCTAAGTGCTGGGAGCTGGGGTAGGCGATGCAGCCATTGCTGGTCTGGGAGAGTGGGCAGGGGATGGGCCTGGATGAGAAATGTCTGCATTCCTCTCCCTGGCTCCTATGGCTGGGCAGGGCAGCACAGAGCTGCCTCTGCTGTGGCAGGGTAGGGATTATTTCTGCCAAGTCTCTGAATCAGATTTGGCTGAATCAATTCAGGACAGTGATTCGAATCGCTGTCTGCCAAATCTGCATCCAAAGCGAATACTACTAGTTGCTTTGCACAGGCCTACGAAATGTCTGCATTCCTCTCCCTGGCTCCTATGGCTGGGCAGGGCAGCACAGAGCTGCCTCTGCTGTGGCAGGGTAGGGATTATTTCTGCCAAGTCTCTGAATCAGATTTGGCTGAATCAATTCAGGACAGTGATTCGAATCGCTGTCTGCCAAATCTGCATCCAAAGCGAATACTACTAGTTGCTTTGCACAGGCCTACCAAGTATACAATGGTACCTAAAATTAGGATTATGCTCTATAGCACTATTTGAGATAAAATAAAATTCAGCCACAGCCTTCTCTCCAAACTAAACTCATACCCAATTCAGAGCTTGGTCTTTTGAGAAATGCAGACCAAAGAATAGCAGGTAAGTTGGTCATGCTTTTAACTGGCATTTAAATGTCATTAGTTAAACTATGGCAGGATGAGGGGAGCATCTGCCCTGGGTGCTGACTATGAGGGGCCTTCAAGATCCCTACCCTGCCACAGCAGAGGAGGCTCTGGGCTGCCCAGCCATGGGAGCCAGGGAGAGCAGTGCATTTGAGGGGTAGGGGAGAAGTGAGGAGAGCTGATGCTGCAGATGCTGAGCAGCAGCCACTATTAGGGAAGTAAGACTTCCCTTTGCCTCACCCATGCCCCTGGGTACCCATATCAGGCACACAATGAACACCTTATGCCACTGCTTCTTATGGTTCATTCCAGTTACACTACTTAGAGGTTCGCACTTTACCAGTGCTTGTCAATCAGTGCAGCATACTTGGAAGCATTAATGAAGTCCAGAAATGGATGTAAAGAAGGAAAAAAAAAAAAAAGTGTCTCTTCACAAAATTTGATTCTTAATAAAGGCACATTTTTTCCAGGCCTAGGGTCTAAAGAAAATATGGTGCATTACATAAGCATTCTTAACAATTCAAACTCTTGATAACTCTTCCAAAGCAGGTGTCTCAATCCCCCAAAGTAGAAATATTAATTTTCTTCTCCCTGTCAAGAGCATTTAACAGGTGTTTGTTTGGTGACAGGCTATTACAAGCATCAAGCATTTCCCAAGTCTTCAAATCAGTATTAAGGAGAAAAAAAAAAAAAATATATAGGGAGAGAGCTGATTTCCTGGCTACTTCTCTGTGTGCATATAAAGTACATTTTTATGATGCTTAGTAATTGGCAAACATACATAAAAACATATACGGTGTGGTTTGTTCTGAACTTTACCGTATCTGCTGAATGGATGAGATTGGTTATTTTCCACTAATAGATGGTTTCAAAGATATTTCTCACTATTCAGTTACTGTCATATCATCAAAGCAAAGAAGGACAACAGGCATCATTCTCTGAAGAATAAGGAAATTCTTAACAGATTTCTCACAATAATAATGTTTTACTCTCATGCATCTAAATACCATTAAGTCATAATATGTGCTTACTGAGAGATGTAACAATGATATTAATAAGTATTTTAATACTCGCACATTGGGGTTTTTTTTCCTTTGACTAACAAATAAGCCTTATTTTTAATAGAAGGATTCAGTTTTTCGGGTTATTTGGATAGTTTCTTGAATTAAACACACATTAATAAGGGGAAACGGTCCTAAAATATTGAACAATACTCCTGAATGCAAATTATTTAATGAATATGTAAATCATGCCTCCATGTGACACTTGGGCTGCCTGAAAAACACTGATAGAGTAAAGAAATTAGACTCTATCAAGGATGATGAAAATTTAATACTTTTCTGATGTTCAAGAGGAAAGTCTGAATTTTAATTGCCACATAATATGCTTCAGTACATAGCTAAAACAAATACCCTTAACTTTCAATAAACACAGGTATGGACATATCCATCACAAAGTAAAGCTATTTTCACTTTATATGGGTACCAAAAATCAGGAGCCTGTTGGGTCTACTTTTGATGTACCATCACCAATTGCCTTTGATTCTGCATTCCACACAGTATTCCATGGGTGTCCAACACTTACAGTGACACTTTATAAGTAGACTTAGTCATTGCCTGAATTTCTCTGCTTTGCAAGGCTGTTTCCCTTTATATAAGCTTAGATTCCACCAACTTGTCATGCATCAGTTGGTACCAGGAAGTCCTACTTCTGGAACTGCTTCAGGGGATTATTTATACATGATAAGGAACATAACAGAAGCTGGTTCAGGCACTATGACACTAAGCATTTGTTTTCTTGAAGCTGAATATAGTCAGTGTGGCTTGACACTGGACACACGTTCTTCAGAAAGTTATCTCTCTTTCCAGAACTATTTAAGGTTCAGAAGTACCAACCAAAAAGTAAAGATGCAAAATTAGATGTTGAAACATCATTGACTTAAGAATAGGCCTCAAACAATTGCTGGTAACAAAACTTTCCAGCATCTGGAGAGCACAGATAAGCATTGCTTTACTGGAGGAAGATTGTTATTAAATGATCTCAACTGACAGGAGTTCTACTGACTACATTGCCATAAATGTTTTGAAGCCCGTGTCACTCTTCTGCTCAGAATTTGTAGTAAGTCATGAGAAGATAATGTATCACTGCATAATGCTAATATGAGAGGAAATCCTTCTGTATGCAAGTCTTTTCAGACATTCTGATTCCATCTCTATTTATTATTTCTCTTTATTCCCTTCCTTAGCGCAAGTTACAGGTTTGTTTGTTTTTTTCCATAGAGTGAAATATAAATCTTGTATGAACTCAAATGTTCTAGAGAAAAAAGGTAAAAATAAGAATGGTGGGGCTGTGATCAAGCTCAATTGAATTGAAATATGATGGATTGAAATCTTTCTTGCATAACAGCAGTTTCCTACTGTAACAGGGTGGCCTCCTTGTCAGGTCTTTGCCGGTCGCCCTGCTCCTGGGCTAACTGCCTGCTTCACTTTCCTGCCATGACTTAATGGAAAAAATATGAGAGTTGTTACTAAGGTGGGATGGTACCCATTACTTGCCCTGCTGATAAGGGCCTAATACCCACTCTGACCTTCCCTCCATGGGTCCCATGCTTCACAGATGTTACTCTGGTGTTACTTCTCCAGCCTATGGATAGAGCAAACAGGGCACACAGTTGTAGCTCTTCTCTACAGCCCTGGAGGGCCACTCATGCCACCCCTCTCTCATTGGTGTCCCATCTACTCCATTGTCTCTCACCCAGCCTCTTTCATACTGCCCTCGTCTCAGGGGCCCCACACATCCTGCCCAGCCTCACCTGGCTTTGGGCTTAGCTCTCCTCTCCTCAGTCAGCCCCAGTGCAATCTGTTGGATGTCTCCTGCTACCCTCACCTGAGCGTTGACTGAGCAATTGTACCCTCACCTGAGCATTGACTGATTGACTAGGCTTATTTTGCTCCTAGCCTCTCGCTAGGCCACTATGCCCCCGCTGGGTCTCCTCACTCACCCACACTCATGGGGCCACTCTGTTAATCACTCCGCTCACTCAGGGCTGCTCTGCTCATCACCCCTCTCACACTGGGTCTGACTTGCACCCCCAGGCTTAACCCTACCACCTGGGTGCAGCCCCAGGTCCCTCCTCTGGCCTGAGCTCTGCCTCAAGGCTCCTTAACAAGCCCTACGCTCCCCCTGCATGTTAGAACACCACCAGGGATGTGGGGCTGAGGTTATAAGGTGTCCCAACCTGCCTTTTGCTGGGGAGGTAACTGGCCTGGCATTTTCTGAGGGATCCCATGCCACTAGGAGCCCCAACAGACCACCCTTCCTTGACAAGGTACAGTTTTGCATCTTACTGAGGACAAGGGGTCACCTCCACCCCGTAGCTCCTGCCCTTACCTTCTGACTCTGGCCAGAGCAGCATCTCAGCTGGATGTTACATCTTTCCTCCTGCAGCAAGCTGCAGCCCAGCTTATATCCCTAGGTCCAAAAAGGCGGCCCTCATCAGGCACCTGGCTGCTGCCTGTTTTCTGCCCTTAAAGTGGTAGGCACCAAAGGTTCTCTGCCACACCTAAACTACTAGTTGACAGGCATATGCCTATTAAAGTGAATGAAGACTAAATAGCTCTTTAACTTTAAAAAAAATGGCCACTGCCAGGGATCAGCATGAACTTCAGACTTTTGAGAAGGCCACTCTGTGGGTTACCTTCTTTGCCTCCAGCCTGTCTGGGGAATAGTTTTCTGTTGCTACCTCCAGCCCATTTACTTTTTCATGCTCTGACCCACTATGGAGGGCTTGGAGGGCTCTGCACTTCAACTTGGCTAAGTCTTAAACCTTAGGCCCTAATGGCTAGATATTTAGACATTTCAGAGACTAAAATTGCAAACAGTAGTCTAGTAGGATATTCAAAAGCCCCTCCATGTCTAAAGCATAGAATGTAATGAGAAACAGGGAAACCTCAAAGAGTTAAACACCTTAGTGCTCTGAAATATTCTACTGTCTTCTATCTCCATCTTTAGACACAACCCTACTATGACGATCTGATTTTATGACTACATAAGAATCAGGTTATAACTGTACCTGTAGCTTTAGAAATGGGCTATTTCAGTTAACTGACATAAATCACAGTTTAAATGTTTTTGAAGTAACTCTAATATGACTAATTAAAAAGGGGAATTGTGAATTTCCTTTCCCCTGCATTGAATAGTGATCAGGTTCTATCTGACAAATGAAAATTGGAAATCAAATTTCTAATGAAATCTTCACACCGACCACTGTGATTCAAGCCGTGGAAACATTTTCTTCAATCTCCCTGAGGAAGGTCTCTTCTGGCATTGCTGTTGCCCATTGCTGTTTTATATTCCACATATCATCAAGCTTTAAAATTTGATGGGGTCAGTACTACTTTTCTTCAGGCAGTATTAGAAGCTGCTTTAGCGTTAAGCTGGAGCCGCACAGATATACTTCTCTCTCTCTCAAGTGATTTGTTTTGTTTGTTTTAATTACAAATTTTTGTATCACACTTTGTAAAATGCATTAATGCTTATGGGAGGTGGGGGGGGGGGCAGCAAGCAAATTTTAAAATTCTATGCTAAAGATGCAAAACAGTGTGTTACCCTGCCCTGTCCTAATATCCAAGACATTTATGCAGACATTTTAGAGAGAACTTTAAAGACAAAAACAGCTGGAACAATGAATTGAGTTTGAAAGAAAATGCCATACTGTGATACTAACATAATCAAATAAAGCATCTATGTGACCAGAATGACTAAATTATAGTCCATGTTTGTTTAGGTGGGAAAACATTCTGAGGTGTTTAACAGAAATAAAACCAGGGTAAAGTCAGGTCAAGATGAATTTGTTTTAGAAAATTCCTAAGGGAAAACAGTAGGAGCCTTCCATTGCCTCTTACTGTCCCTTGTTCCAATACAATAAGGGGAATCTTAAACTCTGCTCCAACAAATTTTAAAGAGCATGCATCATTTTTACCATGTGAGTAATCCCATTGCAATCAAGACCTTTACTGGAACAAGGCCATAGTGATAGCTTGTAAGGCTGTAATTTAGTGCAACAGATATTAAACAAAATTATAATTTACTTGTACCACAGAGACCATATAAATATTATATATAGCTAGCTAGCTAACTAACTAGCTATAATTTTTGACAACTAGGTAGAGTACCTATGCTGGCCCCAGCAGTATAAAAACCAGCCCTGGCCAGCAGCTCAGAGCTTCTTGCCCTCAGGAGCTTCTGCAGGAGGAACTTCTAGTAGGTCAGGGGTAGGCAATGTTTTTTGGCTGGAGTGCCAACAAAAACCACAATGTCTACCTTGTAAGGTGCCACAAAAACAAAACTGGGGTGGAGGGGGTACATGGCAGGATGCACTGCATATTTCATGCAATTAATAATCATTAATGTTGTTTTTTGTTTTGGGGGGGGGGGGGGGTTTACAGTAAATAGAGACCTGGTGTCAGGCAGGGAACAGGGGTTGCCCCAGGGCTCTGCTACTCAGGCCACAGTGGGGGCCCAGCAGCACTGGAGGCAGGGCCCAGCCAGCCTGCACAACTCCGTAGGGATGGGGCACAGCCACCCTGTCCATGAAGGGATGTTGCCTGGCTGGGGCAGGACGCTGGGCCCAGGAGCCTGCTTGGTCTCTGTGCCAGCTGAGTATAGTGCGAGTAGGAACTGCAGTTGCAGGCTGTTCCCCAGGCTCTGCAAACAGCCACCACAGCTGGTGTTCAGGGCTGAGCCAGCCAGAAGCCTGCAGTGCTGTAGCTCCGTGCAGTGCCTGCCCCAGCCCTGGCCCCTTGAAGGGAGCTGCGGGTGGGCAAGACCAGAACCCAGGCAGGCTGCAGCAGCCGCGGTGGCTGTTCTCAGGCTTCAGGGGGCTCCAGTGGCCAGGCCTCTGCGCCGGGGATGGCTCTGCCCTGCCTGCACTGCGCCCAGCATGCAGGGAGGCTGATCTGGGGAAGGGAAGCCCCGCCAAGCCTGGCATCCTGCCCCAGCCAGGCAGCATCCCCACGTGTGCCGGGTGGCTGCGGCCCATCCCTGAGGAGCTGTGCAAGCCAGGCCATGCCCTACCATGAGTGCCGTGGGGAACCCCTGCTTGGCCGCCCACCACAGCTCGAGCCTGCGGGGCTGCCCCCACTTCCTGAGTAGCCCCCACCTTCCCAGGGGCCCAACCAGGCTGGCCCACCCATGGCACCTCCCTCCACGCTGCCCAGACCCTGTTTCAACTGCCCTGCCCCAGAACTCAGCACTCTAGTGCTGCCCTGCCTGGGTGGGACAGGGTGTCTGCCTGCCTGGGCAGCTCCCTCCAGGAGCCAGCTGGACTGGAGAGTGCAGCCTGGGAGCAAGGGGCAGGGACAGTAGAGCACAGACAGCGCCACTGCCTGCATTCTTGTGGCTCTGCCCCAGTGCCTGCAGTGGTACTGGGACTTGTGGCTGCACAGCCTGAAGCAGCAACTTAAACCTCACGGCCAAAAAAACAATTTATTTGCGCGCCTCCCAGCGTGTCAGGGAAAAATGTCTCCATGGGCCACTAATGGTACACATGCCAGGGGTTGCCAACCCCAGTAGTAGATAGTTGGCTATGCCCCTTCCTGAACCAGGCTGCTGCTGGCCCCCGGCATGCTGCATACCACTGCATTCCCTTTGGGGTGGGGGCCACCGCACTACACTGCACCCCGGTACCACACCCCAGCTGCAGCACTCTTGTTCTGGCCTGCTGCCCAGCCCACCACCAAGCCGCGGTAGGGGACAGCCTGGGGAAGGGGCCTGCACTGCCTGTGGGCCCCTGCCCCACCATCACTGCCAGAGTCTGTGCCAGGTGGCTAGCCTGTCCCAGCTGCCTTGGCAGGCCACCTCCTGCCTTCAACTCCACTTTTACCTGAAGCATACCCTGAGTGGCTGACCTGGACCACTACTGCTGCTGCCTGTACTGCTGCTGTCCACTCTCAGGAGAGAGGGAGATTCCCTGCTGCACCACCTCGCACCACACCTGCACTGGATTACCTCCCCAATTGATTGTTGCTCCTGCACTTCTTTACAGCTGCCTCACCATGTCTGCCCCTGTGCTTGTTTCCTGCCTACTGCCCTGCTGCTGAGTGCCTGGCTGGAGGCCTGAGGGGCTGCTTGACTGCCTTCAACAAACAAAGCCCCTCCACCACTCCAGCCATCTTTTACATCTGCCTCAGCAGCTTCTTCTGTGTGTTTTGCCCTTTTGTGGTAAGTCCTATGGTCCATTTCCCCCTGCCCTGGTTTTTGTTATGTAGCTGAGTAAACCAGCTCAAGTCTGCCCAGCCCTTGTGTGTGTGTGTGTGTGTGTGTGTGTGTGTCCCTTCCCCAAGCATAGCCCACATGGTTTCCTGTGGGGCTGTAGCTCAGTGAGTATCAGGCCACTTCCTTTCCCCCACTTCTCCCACAGCCCCAGCCTGATCCTATTGGATTCACTAGCCCCACTGTATTTTTTTTTTTTTCCTTCATTGGTTTTCTCTCCCTTATGTAAAACCATGGCAGGGAACTAACCTTCTGGAGGGGCAGATGCTCCAAAAAAACTTCCTGCAGACCCCAATATGAGGGCAGGTCCCAGCCAAGCCCTCAAGTGGACGCATTCCCCTGCAACCACACCACAGAGGCATAGTCTAATCAACCTCCTCCTAGAGTAGAGAAGCCTGAAACTTCCACTGTGGGGGTAGGTGGGACTCCAGCATGGAGCCAGAAGGCCCAGGGGGTCTCCCCTGGCCAGGTCCCCCTGGAAGGAGTTCCCAAGCCCCCTTCACCACCACCAGGGACCAAGGGCATGGGCAGTGGGAAGGGGTCCTCTTCAGCCTCCTCCACAGCTGTGGGTGGGAAGGGCAAGGGCCCCACCCCCAAGCCTGAACCACAGGTGCCTGAGGGGACCAGGTGCAATGCAGCAGCCAGCACACCCACTCAGCCTATCCCTGACCCTAGCTCTGACCCCACCAGGGTGACCCCCAGTGGGAGAACTGCAGTTATGCACAGGCAGCCATAGGGCAACCTGAAGCTGTGGGGCTGGACCCTCCACTGCTGGCCCTTCCAGCGTGGGTGGCAGGGCCCCCTTTCTGGCACTCGCCCACGTGGTGGAGTTTCGACTACCCAAATGGGAGATCCTGCAGTTTGAGACCTGGGTGCAGGCCCTGACTTGGGTAGTGGGGGCCCCCAAGATTGTGGCAGCCTCAAAATGTTCTTCTTCCTTGCCTCAGAGGCTGCCACACAAAAGGTGGTGGAGAGGGGGCTCGTGGTAGAGGGCAAGTACATCCCCCATAAGCCCCTAGAAGAGCTAGGGACCTGGGTGGTCCTCAGATCCATCCCACTATATATCCCTATTGGGCCATGTTCCCCTAGGTCCAAACCCTGGGGAGGGTTATCTCTCTGGTAGTGACTCTCTCACTGGGGTGCTGAGACCCCTGTCTTCACCACATGTGTCCATTCCATTGCTAGC